ACAGTGGCGGCCTTAGGGGGTGGCGAGCAGGGCAATCGCCCGGGGCCTCGCGCAACAACCAAGTAGAAAAAAGTTGATATTTAAAACTTTTTATTTTATCCTTGGCTATTAGTTATAACAATAAAATAAATTTTATTTATAGTACAGTATATATTAATATTAATAAGTGCCTACTATTTCAATTCACATACTTTGCACAAAGGACAAGGGCCTCGCAAAGATCTGCCGCCCAGAGCCTCGCAATGGATAAGGCCGCCGCTGCTCCGAAATTACTCATTCGATTTCAAAAATTCTGTCACCAATATTTAGAATGGAACTTCAGGGTGGACATAGGCCGTATATTATTCCGTTAAACATTCATATAAATTAAAAGATATTATCTAGGATTAAGGCTTTTAGGTCCAAAAGATGGCGCTAACTCCGCGAGTACGACGACCTAAGTTTGCTTTCCTGTGAGGAGGAACTAAAGCAGATCATCTTCTATCTATCTATATAAATGAAAATGTAATGTTCGTTTGTTCCTGCCGATTCCTTTGAAATTTTGACACTACGTTGCATTAGAATACACACATGTTTTTATATATTATACATGTCGAAATCCCCCATCACTGGGGGAGATGGACAGGATTAAGGCTTATCGTGAATCACTCTGCTTCTATTTACACTATTTTAGATGCAGTTTTTTTTTATTGAGTTTTAATAGGGTACGTCAAGAGAATGTACACTAAGAAGGGATTTTTCGAAAAATTCCCCCCCCACGAAGAAGTGTTATACATTTATAATAGATACATTTTGAGCCACAACAACGCCTGGTGGGATCTGCTAGTTTTTTATACACAGATACCGATTCACTAACGCTTCAAATTTACACAAATAATGTTTATGATGACTTTAAATCATTTCCTGATATTTCTGATTTTAGAAACTATCCAAAACTTAAGGATGTTTTATTCAATACAGAACATTTAAGGCATCAACAATATGGAACTAAAAGTAAAAATCATGTCGTGACAACATACCTTCAGAACAAAATATCTCTTTCCTCATTTTACGATAAAAACTTTATTTTAGATAATGGGGTAGCTATCATATCATTTCCTGATTACACCTTTCACTTTTAATTCTTACAGATTCTTTCATATTATCGTCCTTTCAATACGGATATTTAGTAATATACAGGAGGGAAAAAGTTCTGAAACTTACTTAATACATGGTATTTACAATAAAACATATCCTTGCCTAAACAGGCAGGTAATAAAACAGCACAATTAAAATTATTGCAAAATAAAATATACGGATGTACAGTACAGTACATTAAACAGATTGTGCTCATCATTATCACAACACACATTTCTTGTTGCCTTATCACTTACTACAATTTTTTCTAATAAGTGATGAGATAACAATAGCATTGTGCGATAAAAATTTTATAAAATATATTAATTGTAATAAATAAATACGTTTAGAAATTCTGGTAAAAAATATGTTATTCAATATAGTATTTTGTAACCAATATTTAACTTCTATTAAAATGTGTGGTATATTTTATTAACGATTATAAGTAAAAAACTAACTTAACTCGCCAGTTCATTTCTGAATTCTCAAATAGTTTAAACTGTGAATAAATATGGAAAAATTATATACAGTATTACTACTTCATTCATCAAAAAACATATTAGACAAACAAAATGAGATTTAATTTCATATCCTCAAGTATTCGACGAAGAATTCATAAATAGTTTTTTTAAAATATCTCGATTGGAATAAGATAGACGAATTTCAAATCCTCACAGATAAATTTGTTAAAAACTTTATATGCAAATTAGATATGAGAATAGTTTTAAAATACCAACGATTTAATAACGACATTCTACGCAAGTTAAAGCATTATCTACATTAAAACTTACTTTTTCCGTTATTAAACGTAAATTTCATTAATGATTTCCAAAATTATCCTTCTTGGTGTGATGTTTTAAAATATCAAAAAGTAAATCGAAAATATATTACGTACTGATAATTCACATAGTTTATTACTCAGTATTCTTGATGATATCTGTTAACATATTCTTGATAATATAATAGAAAAATTATTATAAATAATTATAAATAAATTCAAAGAAGAAAATTAAAAGTATGTGTTCTTATAAAATGTAAAATTACTTTGGGGTATATTTTATTTATAATATTGCGTAAGTTTATCGAATTACTACTATTACTTGTTTAGTGCAGTAAACAACATTCAATTATCTAAATACCTGTACTACTTTTATTCTAGATGTCCTGGCAATCAGATGATTTGAACATGAAAGAAAGATTGTCACACCTTATGACATCTAGACAAATGACTGACGTCACTTTAATTATTGGCCAAGAAAAAGAATATTTTCCGACTCGCTCTTTGCTTCTCTCTATACACAGTGAGGTGTTTCATGCAATGTTCTATGGTCCATTGGCGGAGAAGAGAAAAAATGTTACCTTGCCTGATGATGATGCTAAAGCATTTCGTGTTTTCATAAAGTAAGTTATACTAAACTTTTACGAAGTATTTTTAATAGTTATAGAAATACCTTTCCATTATTACAAAGTAAGCTATCAAATTATTATTATCATTATCCATATTAAAATTAACGTTTCTTAGATTCTTTTTTATTGTTTATTTAATACTTTTTCTCAAAGTTTTTTTTTTGAAATTTAAAATTCATAAAACATTTTCATTATTGTCATTACTTCTTGGCTGTATTTTAGCTGTTTTATGATTGTAAGTAACAATTTGGTCTTGCGTCATCGGCAGTTTTTTGGTTTGAACGTTAACTGTCTTTGGAACGTGTCACTTGCAATAGTTTCTATAATATTTTAATTTTATTTGGTCTAATTATTAAAATTAAGTGGTGTTATTGGTTTTAATATGGCTGAACCAAATGATGATATTATTGAAAAATTCTTAGAAAAATCTTTTCAAACGATGTATGACATAAAAGGGTATATGAAAGGTAACCCTAATGGAAAGCTCGCAACAGGGGAACATATAAGATTCATTACTGAAAACGTCACGAAAATTATCCAATTAGCTGAGACAACAATGAAGGAGAACCTTAAGCAGGTCAAACAAATAGAAAAATCTTTCTCATCAATCTCTAGAGAGGAATTAACAGAAATTATCGACGAAAGTAATGAAAAGTCAATGACAATAATAAGAGAGATTAAAGACGAAGTTAACGAACTTAAAATTCGGGTTAATAATTCGGAAATAGAGAAAAAGAAGTCCGAACTGGAAGAATTAATTAAATTTAATACAGACAAAACGATGGGGGAGATAAGTAATGTTAAAAGAGAAACGACAGCTTTAAATGAGGCCCTCTCCAAAGGAACAAATGAAAAACAATCTCCTACTAGCTACAGTGAAGTGTTGAAAATGGGAATGAAACAAAAAGAGTTAAAAATTCAGACCCCTGTTCCCCAATACACAGTTATTATTCAAAGTAAAAATAAAGAAGATAATCCAGACACAATTAAAGAGACTTTAACTAAGAAAATAGATCCGGCTAAATTGGCAATAGGGGTAAAACGAATTAGAAAATTAAACAGAGGAGGGCTTGCGGTTGACACCTGTTCCACAGCGGATATGGAAATATTAGCAGAACATTTACAGAAAACAAAACACTTAGAAATTAAAAGAGGAAGTAGAAGTAGAGTATTAGTTAAAATAGTGTCTGTTTGAAAACATATCAGAAAAGAAGATCTAATTAAAAAGATTTACGACCAAAATCTCTGCTTCTCAGAAAACATGGCACAAGAGTCAGTGGAGGACCAAATGAGTATTAAATTTTCATTTCCACAGAACAATAAAGAATTCAATACATGGGTCTTAGAGGTAACTACAGTAATACGAGAAATTTTAATAACAAGATAAAATTAGTATTGAATGGACAAGATGCCCAGTGTATGATTTTGTGTTAGTTAAAAGATGCTTTAAATGTTTAGATTTTGCACATTTAGCACAAAATTGCACAGTTGAAAAAACTATTTGTAGTCAATGCGGAGGTACACATCTTTTTAAAGACTGCAATAAGAAGAAGGAATTAGCATCATGTATTAATTGCAAAAGGAGATCCATCACAATACAATGGACAAGGAGTGTCCTTGTTTTAAAGCCGAACTTCAAAAGATGACAAGAAACGTTCACTAAGCAGTTTTACCAACGGACCTTTTGCCTAAGTCTGGCATATCGTTTTCAACATTTTTCACTGTTGAAGATCGGCAATTTGACTTTTCTGGTTTTCCATTGGCCACGAGTTGTGGCCAACGTCTGTAATCATTTTGTTCAGTGTTACAATTTGTATGCTGTATTTTAACTTTGGCGCGTTACTGTTTTTTACTATGTATTATTTGTTCTCTGTGTTTATTGGTTTTTATATTTTGTACTTTTGTTTAATAAAGACCGATGCAGGCGCCATGAGACCTTCCTACTTCATCCCCTTTCCTATCTTTCTTTCGCTTTTCCCCTTCGCCTCTTCTCTTTTACTTTCTATCTCCTACTTCACACCCGGGCAATACCCTTGAGTAGTCCCGGGTCTTCCTCCCCTGTCAGTAGGATGTACTAGGATGTAACTTACAATTCTAACATTTACAGCACAGAAAGATATCCTGATTATAAGTTAGATAACATTATATTAATTAGCATTAAATGAGAAATGCGATGCTTTCTTCACAAAAACCAAATTGAAAATATTGGTAATAAATACTTCATATTATTTAGACGTAAAGTATATTGAATTGATAGAATAAGGCAACTAGCACAAGAGCGGTCTGTTTCCAAGACGATCGAATGGAAACTCGATCCTATGCAGCTGTTAGATACGAAAAGAAAACCCGAAAAAATCCATACGGCAAGCCCGTTTATCAAAAGACTGGTAAATTTATTTTTTATGAATTTAAAAACCAGCATGCAAAACCTTTACCCGTTTATAATTAACAGTTGCTTCACGAATTCTTTCTTACTTTCCTATTCATCCTTCTTGGTGGAATTTTTCTGCTCTTTATTTCGCTGTTTAGCATTGTTTACCACAGTGCTAAACAGCGAAATAGGAAACAGCAAAAATATTTTCAGTATGTATCGTATCATCTGATCAGTTCAAACATCTTAACAAATTGTATTATATCGACAAACTAGTCTTGATGAATTTGTTTATTTCTTTTGGTTATAAAATGATTTTATTTTTAAAATATTACAGCTAAGCATAAAAAATATATCATGTACAGGTTACCCTCGTATAACACGGCACTTCTACAGCACGGGTTCACTCTAACACGGTTCGGGAATTGGGTAAAACCCTTCTACAACATGAAATATAATAAAGGGTGCGTTCTTTTATACTTCCGCGTAACTCCGCGCGAGCATTCTAATTGTTTTCGTGGCTACTTTTAATGCTTTTTCAACAATAATTCATTTAATGGTTAAATTTTACAATTGGGACCCCTCTTTTGCCTCTAAAAGCTCATTTTAGAATTATAGATTCCTCCACACGATATTATCGATAGTGCGGGCGCTGTCTTCTTTCTTTCACCGTCGTTCCTAAATGCCTACAAACAGCAGCGCACTTCCGTTGCAGAACGACCGCTATTAACGAACGCACCCAAAAACTGTTACCAGTTAATGATGCTCATGCTGAGATCATCATATAAAATGAATAATCCTCTGGTAAAATATTTACTTAAATAATAAATAAGTATTTTACCTATGAAAAAATGAATAATAAATCCGATTTAACAAAGGATTTAACAGCAAGTTTTTTAATTTTTGGAACCTAATCCCCCTTTTCTCACTAGTTCTTTGTTTCGTATAAAACGGATTCGCATAACGGCAATTTTTTGGAACGTAACTCCCATAAAGTTACCTGTATTAAATAATTTGAGAAATTTAACATAATTTCCAACAAGAAATAATAAAATTAAACTAAACAAACTTGGATCAGTGTTAGAACTTTACTAGAAGTAAAAACGTTTTAAAATTCAATTTGTAATTTATAACGAATCTATTAAAGTAATTAATTATTTTTCAGATATATTTATACAGAAGAAGTGGCATTACATTCAGTAGATGAAGCCATTCGTTCGTTACATTTTGCAGAAAAATACATGGTAACGCGTATGAAGAACCAATGTTTATCACATCTTACAAATCATATATGGCCAGATACTGTTCTCGAAATATACGAAGCAGCATCCCAACTTCAACAAAATGAATTAACAATGGAATGTTGGATGTACATAACTGACAACATGTCAGAAATTATTAAGCGAGATAGCATTAAAAATGTGAAATATGAAACTATTTTAAAACTTGTATCCGTAGATTGTTTAGTGTTGAAATCGGAAGTAGATATGTATGACGCCGTCATAAAGTGGGGTAAAGAAAGATTCCAAGATCAATCTCCTGAGGATCTTCGAAAAAAATTAGAGCCTTTGCTGGATCAGATCAGATTTTTAAGCATGACTCCTGCAGAGTTTGCTGAATCACCGTGTCAAGATGGCATCCTTACTAAGGATGAACAGGTCGACATATTTAGAGAAATTGCAACCAAAAAGAATTATGAAAATAACAATATACGTGATCAATGGAGAAAGCCAAGACAGATAATTGCTACATTAAAAATGTGTACACCAAGAAATGAATACAATCGATATATGAGGTACCCGTATGTTGAATGGGAGGCAGAGGGGCTGGAAGCATTGTACTGAACGGTGTACATAGGGAAAGGTTGTAGTCACTGACAGCCTTTGACTTTCCTCTGTTAAACGAATACGAAGAAACATTGCGTTTAATGGTTTCCAGATGTTGAGAGCAATGCACGGTAAGAACAAACTGTGAGCCTGTGAGGTTCATAAAAAAGTTTTCCTAAGAATATTTCCAAGCCTTTCTCACACAAGAGAAAATGGATTACGGGGCTTTGGGATATAGTTGGGTATAACTTTATGGAACGAAGGAGATAGAAAAAGTTAGGTAATCACTAATAAAGATGATCAATCGTGGAAGCCAAGAAAGATAATTCCATACTGTTAATAATGTTAATCGAACAGTGGCGTGCCATCCATGGAAGCTGTGGAAGCGCCACTTCCCTTATATTTTCTAAAATATAATAAATAGATATTGTGCGATTATTTTCCTATTTTGACGTAGTTTGAATTAATTAAAATTTATATTTTCTTATAACGACATTACGTATCTTATTACAAATTTCTATGCTACATGAAAAAAATGATAAGATTACTATTTTATGTTCGTATATACATTTGTATACACATACAGTATTCCCAATGAAAGCGCTGAATACGGGACAGGTTCCACTGCGAAAATATTTGAATCGCGTAAAGCAGCCAGATTATACCTCACGCAGTTTAGCTCATGGATGCTAAACACCAAAATATCGTATAACGCTTCCAAGGATTCTATCCAGGACAGGCACAGCTTCCTTATCATCAAATGTCACCGCAAGGCACTGTAATCCAAATTTCAATGATATTATATATGTTGACGATATAAATGATATCGATGTTCGCTTTATTTCCAGAATTCAGTTGTGAAATGGTTGTTATCACTAACACTTTAAGTTTTTCAAAAATTCCATTAATTTAAATTTAAAAGTACTTTACATTTGAGAAAACTGGTGTGATAGAGTAAAAATTAAAAAAAAACAAACAAAAGAACAGCTTTATTTCATTGAAAACGAAAAGCTGAAAGATTGTTTTTGTATTCAAAATTTATACTCGATATAAAATCTAAATAATAGCAATGTTTTTGTAATAAGTTATCACTCATTATGGTAAGGCGTATCCATGCGAGAAATTCATAATTCATATGAATTCATGCGCGCATCTTCGTAATAGATATTATGGAAAATGGTTTTATACCGATTGTAAATGCTTATAAAAGCAGGATACGTCGTATGATTAAAGTATTCTTAATTGCATTACATAACACAATTACTGTGTATTTGAGTACAATATCAAGTTTAGTATCGCAAAATGTATTTGAGAGCAATTTACTGTGTACTCGTACAGTATATGTGGTATATGTCGTACAAATAGCAGTCTGATCAGCAACTACTGCCGTTGGACCACATGGTTGCATTATACACCAATAATTGTTTTCGGCTCGTATAAGATTAATAAATAAACTTTACTTGTAACAACCATTTAATTTAGTAACGACTCCAAACATAGCGCCATAGTCGAATTCTATACACAGTAATGTTGGATATCTTGTTTTTGATTTATAAATATTAAAAATTTATTCAAAGTTGTTAAAAGCATCAAAAGTTATTGTACAAATTTATCGTAATAATAAAACGTTCGTACAATTTGTTTTAAAGTAATAAATAAAATGAAGTGAAAATACAAACATTGAAATTAGTGAATAAAATTAGGCGATAAAAAATAATTAAAAAACCATAATTAAGTTTTTTAATTATTGCCTTATGTCGATTTATGAAACAAATTAATGGCAAATAATTTTGTTCAACAATACAGGCTATTTCAACAATAAAGGTACATTTATTTATACTATAAAATATGATATGAAACTTAAAAATCTGTTATGAAAAGTATGTGAACTCACATTGAATCCGAAATTTTTCCCAACAGGCACTCCATTTGAATAAACTTTAGATAACAAACTATTCATTGAATTGTAGACAAATAATAATTTTAACGCTTATAAATAATTTTTTAATTTAAAAATAAAAATTAATTGTACAATTTTACATCATATTAAACATAACGTTTTGTCATTTATTCGGAAATCTGACCTCGCAATTTTGAAAAAAATTGCGAGGTCAGATTTCCGAATTTTGAAAAAAAGCTTAACAGTTTTTTTTCTGAATTTATTTATATTCAAATAAAGAAGGGTCTTAATTTATATTTAGAAGTATTATTAGTTTTATTTACGTTTTGTATACTCTGCTTGCTTTTCGTCCTGAATTCAGAGCAAAAGTGGCTCTACACAGAAAATTCTGCTCTGCTCCCCAACGATATTATCTAATAATCATCGATGGATATTAGACCAATTCTATTTCCGGATTCGGATTCAGTACTGAAACTATAAAAATCAGTGAAAATATTTAACCGAAGTGAAAATAATTTTTTTTTGCAGAAGAATGCTATCCTTATAAACTGTTCTTAATTTTTTTTTTGCCGGATCACTTGGACGGTGAATCCAAACGAACACTTTAACAGTGATCTGTGAGAAACCTTTTTACAGGATACCTTTTGCGAGATTTTTCTTCAAGGCAACGAACGACATTTACGAGAAGGGAGACACTGTCTTGTGCGTTGCCTCTTCTTTAGTATACCTCTCATCAGACCACAGATGCACCATTATCTAACCAAATTTGGTCACCTTGGTGTGGTTCGTATCAACCGTCCAATCTGATAATTTTAACACACTTCTTTAGTTGAGTCACATCTAAAGGAAGACGTATGATTTTAGACGGAAACAAATTCAAAAATAAGATCTCATGAACTTCCTTGTCTAACTACAAATAAATAAATAGAAATATTGATTTTCATATTGAAACGACCACCTAGGACTCACACAAATATACCTCTCTTCGAAATTTTATGTTAGGATGGGGGAGTTAGCGCCCTGTGGGCACTAAGAGGACCTCTTATAGCAGGCCCATTATGGGGCGATCTGGTGTTGAAGGACGGGGCCCGACATATCCGAACGGACCGCCCCCCAAAATTTTCCTGGGGATTTCTTGATCCGTCCGGATTCGATCCCGGGTCACCCAAAGCGGTAGGCTGCCACCTTGACCGCTCGGCCATCTAGCCATTATGTTAGGATGTTATAATATTTTTACAGCATTAAATTACCTCCAAATTTTGCATTTTCCATGGGATATCTGAAGCTGCAAGTTAGTAATTTATGCAGAGTAGAGCTGACTATGAAACGTTGAGAAAACCGAAACTTAATAGCCCAGTTCTACTTTTGGTTTTCATATTGTGTTATAAACATGTAAAGAGATAATTATAGAATGGAAAGATTTTCGAATTAATAAATAACGACAAAGTGTGTTAAAAATACAATTTGCAAAAATACAATAAATTACAAGTATAAAACTTACAAAGAAGTTTATACTAATCTATTGTATATTGTATTAGTTTTGCAATATCAAAATCAAAACTAGAACTAGGCTATTAAGGTTCTGTTTTGGGTTTGAGTTTCTTACCCTATCATGCTAGACATGGGAACAATTAAGTTAGATGGTTCCACGAAACAGTTTGACTAGAACATGGTGTCCAACCCGCGGCCCGCGGCTACATGCGGCCCAAGGCAAGTTCTAATGCGACCCAATAAACGTGTAAACAAAATCGACAAATGTTTTAATTTTTTTATTATTTANTTAGACCAATTCTATTTCCGGATTCGGATTCAGTACTGAAACTATAAAAATCAGTGAAAATATTTAACCGAAGTGAAAATAATTTTTTTTTGCAGAAGAATGCTATCCTTATAAACTGTTCTTAATTTTTTTTTTGCCGGATCACTTGGACGGTGAATCCAAACGAACACTTTAACAGTGATCTGTGAGAAACCTTTTTACAGGATACCTTTTGCGAGATTTTTCTTCAAGGCAACGAACGACATTTACGAGAAGGGAGACACTGTCTTGTGCGTTGCCTCTTCTTTAGTATACCTCTCATCAGACCACAGATGCACCATTATCTGACCAAATTTGGTCACCTTGATGTGGTTCGTATCAACCGTACAATCTGACAATTTTAACACACTTCTTTAGTTGAGTCACATCTAAAGGAAGACGTATGATTTTAGACGGAAACAAATTCAAAAATAAGATCTCATGAACTTCCTTGTCTAACTACAAATAAATAAATATAAATATTGATTTTCATATCGAAACAACTTCCTAGGACTCACACAAATACAGTATATCTGTCTTCAATATTTTATGTTAGGATGTTCTCTTTTATACTCTTTCCGCCCTGTGGGCACTAAGAGGGCCTCTCTGCCAAGGGATACGCAAGTCAAAAAAGGTTGGGAACACTGGGCTAGACGGTTCCTCGTCGGTTTCATATAGGATATAAAATGTTTATCTCTGTTCTTAGATTTTTGTTCAACCTGCTTCAAATTATTCCTGTTTAACTCGGACTCTGAAAAAAATATAGACAACCACGAAACCTGGGCCGTGTTCAGTAACGCAGAATTCTTGCTAAATATAGTTACGCTGCAATGTTGAACTTGTTTCTAACTACTGCTCGACTCCTCCCACCACTAGCTTCTTTTATGTATTCTTAGCTCCGCCCATTAAGCTACTTAGAAGTCTAACTTAGGTGTTCTGCGTTACTGAACGTGGCCCTGGACACCTTACCACTCTCCTGATTTTTTCTCCCCTTATTAACTTTTAAATCTTTTGTCCGATCCGCACCAAATTTTCCCCACTTATTCTCTAGGACACTGAGGAAAATGTACACTTTCATGAATTATGGAAACTCCATTCTTCCTTCGATTTGATTTCCTCGACACTAAAGAAGCAGTATAGCATCGCTTTTTATCTCATTTTTTTTTTAAAGAGATATATAAGATAGCCATATGCAAAACTTATAAAATTCTTTAGAGCTGACAGATATCTTTGGAGCTGATACATTTGATTTGAGAGACTTGAAAACAGAGGGAATCTTTCTCCTTCATACTAAACAAGAACTCATTAAGTAAATATTCATTGCAAACAGGCAGAAATTTTGAATGGGGATTTTTAAACTCATAAATAACTCTCCAATAGCCCGATCAATGGGCTGGTCGTGTGAATATTTTAAATTTGTTTCACGTTTCTAATACAAAATGAGATCCAGTTTTTCATAAGCGGTTCTTTTAGAAACATATCTCCTTATTGTATCAATTTAATATACTATACATGGACTATTTATTACCAATATTTTTTATTTAGATTTTGTGAAATAAGCATTACATTTCTAATGCTAATTAATTTGATATGATTTGTGTATAATCAGAATATCTTTCTGTATTATAGGTGTCAGAATAGTAGGTTGAAACTCGTAGTTAGAATAATTTTGTTGTAAAGATTATTTTGTGTCTATAAAATTCAAACTGTTTAGTGAATACGCAACGTGAAAAATGCATATCATTGTACTGTACGTTTAATGTTCTGTATATTCAGCACAGAATTTATATGATTATATGCATTTTTGAATATTGGATTTTTTTTAAATCTAATTGAAATAATTCTAAAACATTTACGATTATAAAAGTTAGTTTTTCAATCCTGTGAATAAAATACAGTCAAGAAGAATGACAATAATCGAAATATTTTGATTTCGAAATTTNACAAAATCGACAAATGTTTTAATTTTTTTATTATTTATTTATTTCAATGGCATAAACTCAAAAAAGAAGTTTCACAAAGCCGTAAGTAAACTTTTATTTATTTTATTTTTGAGTGGAAAGGAAATACTTTCAAATACTTGGAGATGTGTGAATGAGGAAGGATTACTAAATAAAGCTGGAGTTGCGACGCAAAGGATTATAGACCCAAATTTGGCGATAAGAGAGAAAAGACAAAAGATAAGAAGTAGTCAGAAAGGTAAAATAGATCTTCTGTTATGCAAATATCGACCCTTAATATTCCAACTTTTCTCACTTCTTTAACTTTTGTCCTTTCTCTCCTTTCCCCGCATTTGGGTCTATAATCCTTTGAGTCACAACTCTAGCTTTATTTAGTATTGTTTCCAGCGTTGCAATATTTCGCTACATTGCGCCTAATGTGGCATTTTTTTTTTAGTTTGACATATAAAATATTATTTGGCTCTTCGGCTACTTTTTGGGCATCATATTATATATAAATATATTAATTGAATAAAAATGCACTTTAATTGCCTGACGGGACTTTCTAGTCCCACTATCTTTGATATTTTTTATTTCATAGTGTATGCATTATAGCTTTCTGGGGCTTACATTTTATTATTGTATAAAATGTTCTTTTTCTCTTCTATAGGGTAGTAACTTTCAAACTGTTTTTGTGTTAGTTTTGTTGAAAAAAGTTTCACATCGTGTGTTGTTTGAATGGTAGTAGCTGATATTGCTTTCTTTGTTGCCAAATTCTACTTATTGTTTTCAAGTTAAATGTCTTTGNATGCAACAAACGAATAACGTTTATTGGTAAAATAAAATAACACGAGATCCGTATTTCAACAATGTGCAAAAAATTTCTTTCATTTGAAATAAACGTTCTCAGTCATCATAATGGATCATTTTCAGAATACAAGTTATAAAAACACTAAGCATGGAATTTTTCCAGGTTTGAGATATTTTAAATAAGTCAAAGACAATGCTGAATTAAGATAATCCGCAGTTTTATTTAAACGTTTTCGTTTATTATGAAGCCACCAAGTATGTGAATAGCATAGTTCAAACAACCGAACGTAGAACAAATCGTATCACTAGTGGTTTCAAGAAAACTAAATATTTTTTCTTTAAACAGAAATACATTGCTAGATTGTTTTTACAGTACTGTATATATTGAAAAATTAAATGTGATAATTCACATTGATCTAAATACAAAAAATTCTTGATCATCTGCGCTGACGAATCGATTTTGTATTATGATTCCTGAACTGTTATAGGCCTACTATTAATACCTAATATCAAGTGTAAGCATCGTGCCAAAGAAATGCGAATTTATATCCTTAAGTTTAGATTTGAATCGTAATAAATCTTTCCGATTAAAAAGTTCATGAAAACTTATCTTTATGATTACTTTTACATTTCTATCGTGTGTAAAAAATATCCCTAAATTATTTTCCAAACAAACTTTCCATTTTTTCAAAAAAAGTAAACTTGAATATAAATTTTTAAAATTATTATATACACTATTACACCTAAAAACAGAATTTTAGTCATTGAATTTTATTATTTCTTACTCATATATTTAAAAAGTCATTATTTGTTACTTCTGTTTACAAATATTTTAGAAACAAGAATTGCGGCAATTAGTTTTCTCTCTTTGCTTTCTCCATTGATCATGTATATTGTTACTTCCATAATTCTTTTTGGTTGCAATTTCTCTAAGTATGTCAACCTGTTCATCCTTAGTAAGGATGCCATCTTGGCACGGAGATTCCGCAAACTCTGCAGAGGTCATGCGTAAAAATCTGATCTGACCCAACAAAGGCTCTAATTGTTTTCGAAGATCCTCAGGAGATTGATCTTGGAATCTTTCTTTACCCCACTTTATGACGGCGTTATACATATCTACTTCCGATTTCAACGCTAAACAATCTTCGGATACAATCTTCAAAATAGTTTCATATTTCACATGTTTAAAGTACTCTTGTTTAATAATTTGTGACGTGTATGTGATTATGCAATTCCAGCATTTTGAAATTAATTCACTTTGCTGAAGAAAAGATAGTTCTTCGTATATTTCAAGAACCGTATTTACCGATATTTTATTTGTAATATACGACATACATTGGTCCTTCATACGCGTTATCAAGTATTTTTCTGAAAAATATAACGAACGAATGGCTTCATCTACTGATTGTAATGCCGCTTCATCTGTATATATATAACTGAAAATAATAATCAATTATTTTAATATACATTCGTTACACATTAAAACTTCAATTTTAAAAGATGTATACACTTCTAATACAATTTTAACACTGATTGAATATTTTTTTTTAGTTTAATTCATAATTTTTTGTTGGGAATTATGTTAAAATTCTTGAATTACTTAATATGTGATGTATTTTTTATGATTCGCTGTAATACTTTAAAAATGAAAACAAGTTTATATTAATTGAAATAAGGAAAATCATTCCGAATGGATTTGGTGATATAATACAATTTGTTAACATTTTTGAACTGGTTAAGTCCGAATTATTTTCTTTATTTATATTAAATATAAACTACATTTGATTTGAGAGGCTTGAAAACAGAGATTTTCTCTGTTTTCAAGTCTTCTATAAACAGTATAGTAAACAGGTTGTAAATCGTGATAGTAAACACAGACAATCTTTGTTTACTATCATTGTGAGATCTCACAAGATGTCCGAAATCGCGTAAATCACGGAATTCTTATGTTTAAATTATAACGATAGACTAAATATGAGAGAGAGAAAAAAATCCTTGATCTAAACAACGGCACAAAATGTAAGCAACGAGTCTGGGATGATTCCAACACGCGTTAAACGATCTGTCAATGTCAAACCGAAAGGTCAAACTCAGACACAAGCGTTCATAAACAGGTAGAATTATTACTCGAACGCTGATAAATAGTCAATCTAGTATAACAATTTCGAAAAAGGGGAAAGATTTGAAGGATAGAAAAACAATCGCGTATGATTGTTAAAGTTCCAAGACGATAGAAATCACAAACAACGGGCTAAATTATGAGAGCGGGTTTCATCAACAATATCCGAGCATAGTCGACCAACAGGAGTCAATAGACACCTTGAATCGAACCTTTCCCGTGACCCGAGTTGGTCTCTGTTTTCACCTGGAACCAAATTAGAGACCAATCGAGAAGCGAGGAATGGGACGAGTGCCAATCGAAAATACGGATAGCAGGAGAAAACCTATAAAAATCAGAAATTGAAGGTCGAAGGACAGTCTTCTCTGGATTAAGCTAAAAGTCATGACTATTAAGTTGTGTTGTACTATCATCTAGTACGCCGCAGCACCATCTCACCAATCATCCGCTTCACCCAGCGATCACATCTCGTCCGTTCCAGGTCTCCGATCAAGTTCGAAATTCTCCGCCTTTCCGAAAGACTGTAGAGAAGTGGGACTGTCAAATATTCGATGTAACCATAAATGTTACCAAATAAACGGCTTTCATTTGGAAAACACTTGTAATCTTTTACTTCCTCCACCATGAGGAAGTTTCATGTGGGTTGCCACATGAAACTTTCCCTTAAGTTCATCCTGACGAGGGATTAACTGATCCCACCTAAAAGACGGCAACCTTACACAGGTACCGAGAGTTTTCAAGTCCCAAATTTCCACTGAGTCGGCTACCTTACATCACTAACAAGAACTCATTAAGTAATTATTCATTGCAAACAGGTAGAAATCTTGAATGGAGATTTTTAAACTCCCTAATAATCCTACCATTCGCCCGATCAACGGGCTGGTCGGGTGGATATTTTAGAATTGCTTCACGTTTCTACTGTAATCAGATCTAGTTTTTCATAAGCACAGAAACAGATCTCCTTATTTTATCAATTTAATACACTTTACATCGACTATTTATTCTCAATAATTTTAATATGGATTTTGTGAAATAAGCATTACATTTCTAATGCTAATTAATTTGATATGATTTGTGTATAATCAGAATATCTTTCTGTATTATAGGTGTCAGAATAGTAGGTTGAAACTCGTAGTTAGAATAATTTTGTTGTAAAGATTATTTTGTGTCTATAAAATTCAAACTGTTTAGTGAATACGCAACGTGAAAAATGCATATCATTGTACTGTACGTTTAATGTTCTGTATATTCAGCACAGAATTTATATGATTATATGCATTTTTGAATATTGGATTTTTTTTAAATCTAATTGAAATAATTCTAAAACATTTACGATTATAAAAGTTANGTATAATCAGAATATCTTTCTGTATTATAGGTGTCAGAATAGTAGGTTGAAACTCGTAGTTAGAATAATTTTGTTGTAAAGATTATTTTGTGTCTATAAAATTCAAACTGTTTAGTGAATACGCAACGTGAAAAATGCATATCATTGTACTGTACGTTTAATGTTCTGTATATTCAGCACAGAATTTATATGATTATATGCATTTTTGAATATTGGATTTTTTTTAAATCTAATTGAAATAATTCTAAAACATTTACGATTATAAAAGTTAGTTTTTCAATCCTGTGAATAAAATACAGTCAAGAAGAATGACAATAATCGAAATATTTTGATTTCGAAATTTCAAAAGTACTTTGAGAAAATGTATAGCTTGCATTTTAAAAAATAAAGCAGATAGCTAAGCTAAAAACTAATAGAAGTTTGTATTATGTTCGCACGTTACAACTGTTATGCAACAAACGAATAACGTTTATTGGTAAAATAAAATAACACGAGATCCGTATTTCAACAATGTGCAAAAAATTTCTTTCATTTGAAATAAACGTTCTCAGTCATCATAATGGATCATTTTCAGAATACAAGTTATAAAAACACTAAGCATGGAATTTTTCCAGGTTTGAGATATTTTAAATAAGGCAAAGACAATGCTGAATTAAGATAATCCGCAGTTTTATTTAAACGTTTTCGTTTATTATGAAGCCACCAAGTATGTGAATAGCATAGTTCAAATATCCGAACGTAGAACGAATCGTATCACTAGTGGTTTCAAGAAAACTAAATATTTTTTCTTTAAACAGAAATACATTGCTAGATTGTTTTTACAGTACTGTATATATTGAAAAATTAAATGTGATAATTCACATTGATCTAAATACAAAAAATTCTTGATCATCTGCGCTGACGAATCGATTTTGTATTATGATTCCTGAACTGTTATAGGCCTACTATTAATACCTAATATCAAGTGTAAGCATCGTGCCAAAGAAATGCGAATTTATATCCTTAAGTTTAGATTTGAATCGTAATAAATCTTTCCGATTAAAAAGTTCATGAAAACTTATCTTTATGATTACTTTTACATTTCTATCGTGTGTAAAAAATATCCCTAAATTATTTCCTCAACAAACTTTTCATTTTTTCAAAAAAACTAAACTTGGACATAAATTTTTAAAATTATTATATACACTATTACATCTAAAACAGAATTTTAGTCAATGCATAATTATTATTTCTTACTCATATATTTAAAAAGTCATTACTTGTTACTTCTGTTTACAAATATTTTAGAAACAAGAAAGACTAAAGAAAAGGAGTTCAACAAATTTTAATTGTAATAATTCTGTAAAATTTCAAAATTAAATTCATGAAAATATTTTTTTTTTTGTTATTAGAAATTATAAGTAATTATTAAAAACACTTCGTAAAAGTTTAGTACAACTTACTTTATGAAAACGCGAAATGCTTTAACATCATCATCAGGCAAGGCAACATCTTTTCTCTTCTCTGCCAATGGACCATAGAACATTGCATAAAACACCTCGCTGTGCATACAGAGAAACAGAGAGTGGGTCGGAAAATATTCTTTTTCTTTGCCAACAATTAAAGTTACGTCTGTCATTTGTCCAGATTTCATAAGATGTGACAATCTTTCTTTTATGTTAAAATTATTTGATTGCCAGAACATCTGGAAAACAAAAAAAAAGTTAGTTATTGGTATTTGGCTTTAATTGAAAGTTGTTTGTTACTATATACATATAAAATTTATTTTTATAATTGATAAATATTTACTACGAATGATTTTGTATGAATGACCACAAAAGATAGACCACAAAGAAAATTATATATACAGTATATAGTTTTTTAAATTCCAAATAGTGTGGTCTCTATTAACGAGTATTCTAACTACAATAATTCGATATAACGATCTATTTTCTACCTTATTTTGATTTACGACATAAAATATTGATTAGAATGAGCACCCGTCGATNTGCGTTAGCTGGCTGAGTGCCGCTATGGCCGTGGGCGAAGGAGTCGTCCCCAGTCAGTGATGTATTTAACCAAGTAAGGTTATATCTAAATCTAATATACTTCTGGAAGCGAAGACTAGCTCGAGGGTCTGGGTAGCGTAACTGGTAAGCGCGCCGCACGGCAAGCGGAGGCTGCGGGTTCGAGTCCCGCCCCGGGCCAGTTCTTTTATTCCAGAAGATTCTAAATTTATTTATTGATTTATTTATTTAATTTTAATTATTAATTTAATTAAGAGATGGCGCCTAACGTCTACCTCTAGTGTCAAATTACTTTATTCCAATCATTTAATTAGCCATATTATAGCCCGATATTTAGGCGATCGTTTGGTGATGTATAGCTTGCATTTTAAAAAATAAAGCAGATAGCTAAGCTAAAAACTAATAGAAGTTTGTATTATGTTCGAACGTTACAACTGTTATGCAACAAACGAATAACGTTCATAGGTAAATTAAAATAACACGAGATCCGTATTTCAACAGTGTGCAAAAAATTTCTTTCATTTGAAATAAACGTTCTCAGTCATCATAATGGATCATTTTCAGAATACAAGTTATAAAAACACTAAGCATGGAATTTTTCCAGGTTTGAGATATTTTAAATAAGGCAAAGACAATGCTGAATTAAGATAATCCGCAGTTTTATTTAAACGTTTTCGTTTATTATGAAGCCACCAAGTATGTGAATAGCATAGTTCAAATATCCGAACGTAGAACGAATCGTATCACTAGTGGTTTCAAGAAAACTAAATATTTTTTCTTTAAACAGAAATGCATTGCTAGATTGTTTTTACAGTACTGTATATATTGAAAAATTAAATGTGATAATTCACATTGATCTAAATACAACAAATTCTTGATCATCTGCGCTGACGAATCGATTTTGTATTATGATTCCTGAACTGTTATACTATTAATAGCTGATATCAAGTGTTAGCATCGTGCCAAAGAAATGCGAATTTATATCCTTAAATTTATATTTGAATAGTAGTAAATCTTTCCCGATTCAAATTTTTATAAAAATTTATCTTTATGATTATTTTTACATTTCTATCGTGTATACAAAATACCCTAAATTATTTCCTCAACAAACTTTTCATTTTTTCAAAAAAACTAAACTTGGACATAAATTTTTAAAATTATTATATACACTATTACATCTAAAACAGAATTTTAGTCAATGCATAATTATTATTTCTTACTCATATATTTAAAAAGTCATTACTTGTTACTTCTGTTTACAAATATTTTAGAAACAAGGAAGACTAAAGAAAAGGAGTTCAACAAATTTTAATTGTAATAATTCTGTAAAATTTCAAAATTAAATTCATGAAAATATTTTTTTTTTTGTTATTAGAAATTATAAGTAATTATTAAAAACACTTCGTAAAAGTTTAGTACAACTTACTTTATGAAAACGCGAAATGCTTTAACATCATCATCAGGCAAGGCAACATCTTTTCTCTTCTCTGCCAATGGACCATAGAACATTGCATAAAACACCTCGCTGTGCATACAGAGAAACAGAGAGTGGGTCGGAAAATATTCTTTTTCTTTGCCAACAATTAAAGTTACGTCTGTCATTTGTCCAGATTTCATAAGATGTGACAATCTTTCTTTTATGTTAAAATTATTTGATTGCCAGAACATCTGGAAAACAAAAAAAAAGTTAGTTATTGGTATTTGGCTTTAATTGAAAGTTGTTTGTTACTATATACATATAAAATTTATTTTTATAATTGATAAATATTTACTACGAATGATTTTGTATGAATGACCACAAAAGATAGACCACAAAGAAAATTATATATACAGTATATAGTTTTTTAAATTCCAAATAGTGTGGTCTCTATTAACGAGTATTCTAACTACAATAATTCGATATAACGATCTATTTTCTACCTTATTTTGATTTACGACATAAAATATTGATTAGAATGAGCACCCGTCGATATTTACGAGAAGAAAATATTGTCAGCAAGAGTACAATGAGACTGAAATTAACTTCCAATCTCCACTGTTTCATTTGCATGGCGATTTTGTTACACATAGCAACTAACACTTTTGACAAAGACTTTTATAACAACATACTCCTTTCTCAAAATAGTCATCTCTTTTCGCAAAAGACACAAAGCGAGCACAAAAATTAAAAAAATATATACTGTATGTATATATTTAATGATTTTGTGAAAGAACAAATACAGATTTTTGTAGCGTCATGTTGTAGTATTTATCGTTCGAGAAACTTTAAAAGTTTGACATATTTGAGATAGACTTCGCCATCAAAACTTCTTGGGAAGTATTCATTCGGACTCGATTCCGGATCTCTCAAATCGGTAGGCTGACGCCTTAACCGTCTTATACCCCGTTCGCACACAATCCACGACTCACTTCGATTTCGATTTACCCACAATCTGGATTGTGACTGTCGCCAGTGGAAAGTTGTGCTGTTCGCACAGGTAACTCGCTTGAGAAGAACCCGGCTATTACACGCGATGATAAAATTGACATAACTACGTGGTAAGTCACGAACACCAACAAACAAAATGAAAGTTTTGGTTAGAAATAAATACTTTTTCTTGCCGTATATCTAATAATAGACAGATGTCATCGTCTATCCAGATGTCTTTTTTATTTTTCTGTCGATAGCCAGACACGTGTTCAGCAGCCATCTTGTATTTTTTCGCGCGCGTGGGATTGTGGGATCTCTCTTATGACTGAATCTAGTTTCAAGAACTCTCTCCAGTCGATCGCGATTTAGCCTCGTTTCAGTCGAGATTGAAACGGTCGAGAGCGTTCGCACCACGGAACTCTCTCCGACTTAAGCCACAATCTAGATCGAAATGCACGGTGCGAACGGGGTATTACAGTGTTGCGTAGTTTGAGAATTTCTCCTGGATTTAGTAGAAAATTTTTGGACTAGGAGACAATCTAGAAGAGAAATATTTAAATAAGTAATTTCCATAAGGGGATGGAAACAGAAATTTACAGCCACAGAATAAAAATATATTTGTATTCTGATGCCGCCACGGTGTTAACATCATAACCAAAACACCACGATTACAACGCATAACTGGTTAAAGGCAAGGTATATCTCTCTTGAATTATTTCTTCTCCCCTTAGCTCCACCGTCTCCACAACTAAGAAAAGACTGTCTCGCCTATTATCGAGTAGTCTGACCCATCCTGGTAAGGTTCGACCGACAATGGATTTTGAAACCAAAAGTTCGGTCGGACATTACATCCAGTATCTTTTATATTTTTATTTCATCTTTCGATTACTAAGAAAAATGTTTTCGTTCTAGGGGATCTTGCTTGGGACTTGGCAACAGTTCAGTCTTGGCCATAAGACAGTGTGAAGTTCTAGAGAGATGGCGATATACCTATCCCATCCGGCATCTCGAGTCGTATTTCGCAAGTAGATCTTACACAGTAGACTAGAGCCCAGGTAACTCATTCTTAGTAAAATTTTTTATAATCTAATCACTGTTTTATCTCATATTCATTTTAAAACAAATAAAACACAACATTAATCAATAAATAAAGGGCAAATATTATTTTTTAATGTTTTCTTAATTAACTATTAAGAGTTAGATGCATTATAATATATTGTAAGCGTCCTATATATAGAATATCCATGATATTAATTATCGAAAAGTTAAAATAATTTTCAGAATTTAATCCAGATAAAACTTTCCTGGAATTATTTATTTATTAACTAAAGTAATGTGAAAAGATAAAGATTCTAGTATATGCAAGTAATAATTTATTCTATAACATTACTAAGTAAATCATAAATTACTAATGAAATACTAATTTTCTTACTGTTTAACTCAAAAGTGAAAATTTCTTTAAAATTCTTGTTGAAATATTCGCCGTATTTAAAATATCTTTACGTTCTTTCAGTCGATTCTGCATATATATATACAAAATTACTGTAATTATAATGAAGTCCACAGCCAATCAGATATTGTTTTGTTTTAAAATAACATCTAATGAATCTCATTTGAACAAATCAGTTTTCGATTTTATAACTGAAATTTAATTAAGTTACTTTTGTGAATGAAGCAAAATTCAATTAGAGTAACTTATTAAATAAAGAATTAATAATAAATCAGTTTATTCTATATTTACTCTTCTATCCCTATGAATTGTTTGTTTTCGTTCCAAAACGATTTTTCACTCTTTTTATATGTAATGTCGAGTTTCGTATAACGCGAACATTTTCGTGGAGCCGATCTATCGCGTTATCACAAGGTTATCTGTACTGTATAATTGATATCAATAACCTGAGCACTGGGGCAATATTATATTCATTTTTTAACTAAATAAGTTATTTAGATTGTAACTTATTCTTTAAGTAAATATATTGTTACTGTATGTGTTACAGTATTGTTTTCAGAAATGATAACCACAAGTTGAAACAATAATTTAGTTTTTATTTTGTTTATTCATATTAATAGTATCGATTCATAAGAATAATTGTATCGATTTTGACGATTCTAAAAGTATAAATGATGTATTTAGTTAATAGAGTTAATTAATTAATACAGTATATAAAATATGCTAAAAATTGTATTTACATGTATTAAAGGTTTAGAACTATTTATACTTAATTGATAGATAATAACAAAGACTCATTTGGAAATTACAGGTAACCT